GGTTCAAGCGTTTCAAAAATCAATAAATTTTCATAATAGCCACAAAACCAGATCAAAAACACAAAAAAAAATATATAAAAAATCATTATTTTAACACGGCGCACGAACTTTTTCCTCAACCTAATATAAAGCTGAGTAGATGCTGAGTTCAGAGTAGATGCGTTGAAGAAGTATTCCTTTAAAGTGTCAAGATAGGTGAAAATTATGATATCGGCCTAGTATTTCGACAATTTTCCTGTATGGGCATATTTTTGAAAACCTCCTTCCTCCTATGTATGAGCTTTGCTCAGATACTTCGAAATCGTACGAGAAATTTGCGGAAAAGGGTAAATGGGTATTGTTGAACTGGTGGCGAAAAATAAAACGTAATTTTTGTCTGGAAGACACAAGAGGAAATTTTTGAACCGTTCACTTCAGAAACCGTTCCCCGTCCTTTCTGAATACCTTGTATGTCTCAGTTTAAGTGTTTTTTCTCGGTTTTTAATCAGCATTGTTTTTTTTTGTTACTGATGGATAGAAGTTCAGGTCATCTAACGAGGGAACCTCCTTAGATGTACCCTTCCGATTCCAATGATTCGTACATTGATCGATAGACCTCAGTGAGGTAGTAAATACCCTAAAAAGATTCGGGTTCATGACTCTTGAAGTTCCGCTTTTCTGAAAAACCAATTTTTCAGAAGCTCTAAAAATAACTAAAACCTTTTCTTAACGAGACATGACTGTAGCCCGCACATTTCCGATTAAAATGAGACATATCCCAGCTCCGCTTGATCCTTTTTTGCAAATATATAGAATTTACAAGAAAAGCCCTGAATGTTCACTGTCAGCTCAAAGCAACAGAAATAAGAAGAAATTAATTTAGGGCTTCTCTTGTAAATCCTATAACTTTGCAAAGAAGGGTCAAACAGAGCTGGGATATGTCTCATTTTAATCAGAAATGTGCGGGCTGCAGTCATGCCTCATTAAGAAAAGGTTTTGGTTATTGTTAGAGTTTTCGAAAAATTGGTTTTTCAGAAAAGCGGAACTTCAAGAGTCATGAACCCGAATCTTTTTAGGGTATTTACTATCTCACTGAGGTATATCGATCCATGTGCAAATCATTGGAATCGGAAGGGCATATCTCGGGAAATTCCCTTGTAAGTCGGTTTCAGTTACAGAGAAAAACATACATCGATCTGCATTTTCGTGAAGAAGAGAACGTAAATGAAGAATTCCTATATTTTAATCTCTGGAACGCCATAAGACATATTTAGATGCTACGAAGAAAATGTTGGATGTTGCATATGCTTTTTCGTTCTAAACCTTCAACGGGAAAGAATGATAGAGAAAGAACGGTTTACTGTCGCTTCGTTCCTAATTGCTCACTCTCACTTTTGACGTCACGGTTATTGTAGTTTAAACTTACAAAGTCAGTTAGGGACGAATCGAGAGGACACGAGACGCACATGTCACGAAGTGAAAAGAACGCAACAGTTAGGTATGCACCGGATCGAGCTACCCGAAATTAAAGTGTTTTTTTTCCTGATGGTTGTTATTCTCAGGCCTCTACATTAAAAAGGATCTCACACTTTTATCCTATTTTGGATGTTAGCAAACAAACGGCATTTGTATTGTGTGTCCGCATTTCATGTCGCTATATGAGTTTCCTCTCAAAATTAAACTGACTTTTTCGGTTTATGTCCGAAGCAGCTCTTTGAGTTCTTAAACGTCAATAGCTTTGTCCTTACTCTTCTTCTGCTACTCAACTGTATGAAAGTAAGTTTTATGTATTTCAAATGCGCCTGAAATAGTAAAACAAATCTAACCTAACCACCTACCACATCGCTCATCCTCCTCTCTCACATCTCATCTGCTTCTCTCACTGCTTCTCTCCACTCATTTGCTCTATACTATTTGCTCTATTTAACTGTCTAAAAAAGCACAACTGTGATCTAGCCATCAGCCGTAGTGTTTCATTTTCCTAGAGAAAAGTCTTAAACAACTTAAGGAAAAAATAATAATCTCAGAATACGCAAACAACTGCAGGCTGGTCGAAGAAACGACAAAAGAAAAAAGGACAATAGATACGAAGTACAAAAAACATTGAACAGATGTGCTAACCTGACCTGAAACATTCTTATTCCTAGTAAATTGTAGAGTGCTACTTTGTTAAGTATTTGTAAATCGAATATAGAACTGCTATGGATTCATAGCAGTTCTATATTCGATTTACAAATACTTATTTCCAACTGCTCTACCAACAAATTTCATCACTTTGTTAAGTGTTTTCATTTCTTAAGAAATGAAAACACTACTTCAATCTATTCTATTGACTCGCCAAACAAGAAATAAAAAATCCTTAAAATATCGACATCAGGACAATATGTCTAAATAATCTTACTTTCTAATAAATTTTCTTATGCATTCATATCGAACGTTTAACCTGTAAAACGGTAACGGTAAAACTGGTTAGACCGGTAAAACGGTAACCTTTACCACTGAATGCCTAATAACTACGCAACAACCGCTTTGCATGTTAACTTAATTTTTACAACAGTTGGAGAAAACTTGAACAGACTTCAAAAACGCATCGATAAATCTCAAGTCACAGCAATAATTTTCGAACTACGCACTTTAAAGCATGAGCTATCAGACCAAACCTAACGCTCTCCTCAACAAATCTGTTCAGGGTTTACGATGAATTCGAAATTAGCGACTCACTTTCGGGTAACTCAAAGCTCGGTGCATACCTAGCAACCGTGATGGGCGAGTCCGAGTCAAAACTTGGACTCGAGTCGCATTTTGTTCAAGACTCGGACTCGAAAACTGAGCAACGTTGACTCGCCTGTGTAACTCGAGTCATTCATCCAAAAAGATTTTCATTTGCTCTTGTAAAAATTTATAATTTATAAGATAAAATTATCACTTCTTAATAACTTTTATCCTAATGGAATATATTGCATTAGAACAATTTTTTCAACAGCTTTTCTGTCTATGTATTCATATGGTCGTGAAACTTGTTGTTAAGATTTTTTATCAAAATAAACAGAAAACGAAATAATCGAAAACATAATTTGACTCAACCCGGAAACACCGGTGACTTGACTCGACTCGAAAGTATGTCAAAATGACTCGGACTCGAAAAATGGCTTGACTCGCCCATCCCTGGTACCAAACGACAATATAACAATTCTTTTTCATATTCGACTGCTTTTAACTGGCCAAATTGTTTAAACACATCAATCAGCACAATTGTTGTTGTGTTTGATCGGGGATATACTTTCACCGTTGGTGAAATAATTACTCGATGTTCAAGTGGTACATTTGGCAGTATTCTTTTCAGTTTTACAGAGCGACCTCTGACATAGATCGAATTTGTTTCTAAAATGTACAAAATTCACTTTATATAAAGCTACAGATCAAAATCCGAAAGAATTTAGACAGATTCACTATCTCTCAAGGCAATGGTCTGGATTTTCTAGTCCGGAAGATAGTTGGGAGAATATTAATATAGTATAAAAACCTGCTAATGAAGAATATGCGACGAAAATTTTTAACTCCTAGACCTTCCCGAAAACGTGCGGCTATTCTATCCATGTACCTTAGCGCAAGGAACTCTCTCTCCTTAGATGAAACATTTTTTATGAACATTTTGTGGACTGAATTTCTCATACCTTTCTAAACGAACAGAAGGGTGCTATCTGTGTAGTGCAGACGAATTTCAAAGATGTTTGATTTTTTGTTATAGAACAAGAGTTGAGTACGCACACACTAAGAGGAATAGGAACTTAAGTAGGTAATCACTATAATATTCCATTAACCTCACTATAATATCCATATCGTCCGAGACAAAGTCTACCGGCTCATGTTGTTCAATTTGCTCACCATTCATATTAGAAATGACACTAAAAAAATCAACTTCCGACAGTAAATCTGTTATACGTTGATAGGATCTCTCTCGAGATACTGACTCGTAAACATCACGTGGGCGGATAATATCTAAAAATGAGCTATCCGTCAGCATTCTAAGCGTGTCATATTTCCAATATTCATGTGTTTTTCGAACATCACGTGACGATTCATGTAAACAAACGCAGACGTATGCGAAAGATGAACAAATTATCTACTACTTATACGAGCATTCACACAATGGCCAAAGTACAATGTTTGGCATAACAGCACTAAAAAAGCAAACATTGTCAACCATAGTTCAAAAGCGTAAGGAAACTTATCGTTCATTACAGTTAATAGTCATCCCATAATGAAACCGCCACTAAACAAGTTGTTTCAATACGTTCATCTGTTCAGGATTAAATGATAAGATTTTTTGATGGTTTTTGTCTGCGTTTGTTTTCTTTCTCGTACATTGATTAGCACTTGGACATTTTTAATTTCCGAAGTTTTATGTCCTACAAGAAATCGACAGCTCATTTGAACCGAGTGAAGAGAGGTGTCTCACCAGACTTTGTATCATTCTTGATAGACGGTCTGATTCAACTATGCGCTTTGTCGATAAATGCATCTTCTCGCATAATTGTAGTATAATATCAACAAATAATGTGTGTCAGTTTCGGTGTGTAACACACCGAAACTAACACTGTGTTGCACACCGAAACTGTATTACACAGTTACACAGTGTGATTACGTGAAATGTGTTTTTCTCGTTTCTTTCAAGTAAATGGCAAAATAAATATATTACCTAAAATTCCCTAGAGAATAAGTGTAACGTAATGGTTACCTAATGAAATACAGTTTTGAAAATACAATAATTTAGCTATACTTATACAAGAGTTTAATGTTACTTTAATTTGCTTTGTGCTGAAGTATATAGAGTTGGATAAAAGGAAAGTCAGTCTTGCTTTAGAAGAAAACTGCTTAGCATATTTATCTTTGTTTTTTTATTTTTACGCTTTTAGTGACAATCGACTACAAAAAACAGATGCTGTAGTTTCGAGTTCAAATATATATCATATCGACACTTACTGCTCACCCCAATCAAATCGTTTCATTACCTGCTTATCATTCTCGATGTCAATGTTGAAATATTGTTCCACACAATGAACAAAATTTGACCGAGAACGTCCCAATTCATGTATAGCCAGTTCAGTATCAAACACATTTTGAAACGAGACATCGAAAACTTTGAAGAGATATCTGGGGTCGTGAGAAACATCGCGTATAACCTAAATTTAGTCGAGATGCTCTATATAGAAATATGGCTGGCAAAGCCGAATCCAGAGTTGTCGATAGGAAACTGTTACTTACAACATGTCGCAGTATACCATCTCTCATCTTTAATGATGAAAATTCCGAATATGACATAAACTGATCACGAAAGACGGTTAAGATTGGATTTTCTAAATGTATTAGTTTAAATTTTTCATGTTCCGCTTTTAGCTGTCTGTATAAATCTTGTACGAAAAATCCAAATATAAACATAACAGTCGTGTCATGTTGTCTTAGCGTACAATTTAGAAGACGAAAGACGAAGACTGGTTGTGTGTACCACAAAACGGCTTTATCTGGAGTATAGTTACGTTCAAATTCTTCAAGACTGTTCAGCTCCGCTTCCTTTCCCTTATAATATCTTTTCAATGAATGAACCAGTTTAAAACGTGCGTCTTCTGGATATGGCAAATGACATAAAAGATCAATGAAATCTATCAATAGCATCTGTTGTATTCTTTTTTCTTGCAATTTCATTGAATACTCCATCTTTTTCATGCTCTAAATAGTCGTTGACGCTTAATTTTAAATCATCTATCAACTCATGTAGTTCCGTATGAATTCGTTTGACCTGTTAAAGTAGGAAACAGAAAAAATCAAACTGCTGAAAACTGCAAACTTAAAACTAATCTTTGAATTTATATAAAATTCAGTCCATTCTTCATGATAGTGTTTATTGCGACAATAAACAAAGATTTGTCGACTATTTCTAAGATCATTTATTTGATTAATAAAACACTGTCCAAGTTCTCCTGAGGCAACTAAGAATGTCATCGTGTCTTTTGTCTGGAGAATATACTGTTCACATTCTTCAACATTGTCAAACGTTTAGTATAATCTACAACTTTTCGTAGATTGTCCAGAGTAATTTGCGCCTCGTTGCTGTCTATAGCCTATCCAACCATATTAACTGGTGGGATTCAAGATTTATCCGTTCACGATCAAGTGCAAAGCCTGGAGGCTCTTGAGAGGCATTTGGAGCAAAACTGACAACTGGTGATACTCTATTAGAATGTGTTGTCGGTTAATACAATGACGTGCTGTTTGTGACGGCTGCGAAAAACGAGATGGTTGTTCGCTACCGACATCGTATACAGCTACATTTGTTAAAGCATTCCAATGCTGATGTAGTTGTCTGTAAATGTGAATTCGTTGACGAAGGAGAGTGACTGTAATTGCTCGTAGTAAATAAATTTTTGCACACTTTGCTACCCATAATTTTGTACTAAAAAATGATACGGGCTGATCCACAGTGAGCAATTTTAGGTGGGCAAGCACACATGAGAGTGTTTAGTGAAGTCTACAAAAAATTCTTACGCATTTTTATGTGTGTTCTTCTGAATAGGGAGAGACAGATAGCATCCACCGACTAACGTGATTTTTCATCTTCTTTGTTAGTATACTCGTATTCTTGAGAAAAATGATCTATATTAGATCATTTCTTCGTTCAGTCTCTGTTCCAAAAAATAACGCCGGCTTCTGTATTTAACGGACGCATCTTGGTCGCACAAAGGCGATCATATGATGGGTATACTACATGCAGAATAAAAAACTGAAAAAATTGGCATTTTAACTTCACTATCGTAAGCGAATAAATCGGCGTAACGGAGCATACTGATACAGAAGAAGAAAAATCACGTCAGTCAGTGGCTGCTATTTGTCTCGAAATATGGACAGTCTAATGACTGATATATCACATTGTAGTACCCCGGGATGGGATGTATATAAATAGCATCATACAATTCTCAGAAGTTACTTTTCGAGTTCAGATCAAAACAGAAAAATGACTTAGTGCAAATACCTTCGAGTGCTAAACATGTGAACACAAGAGTATTGGGACCACCTGATGAGACCGTTGTGTGTCGGCCAAAATGCGTCAGGGCATGCTCCAACAAAATCCAAACCGTTCTGTCTCGCAAAAGAACAGGAAGAAGTGATATTTCTTTTCAACTGGAGAGAGTGTATATAATGGGTCCAACTGTGTCTCTTCAGGAAATAAAAGTCAAAAATTTTGATTGTCTGTTTAAAGTGGAGTTCCTTTGCGACAAGTTATTCGCTTACGATAATGAAGATAAAATGCCATTTTTTTCGGTTTTTTATTCTGCATGTAAAATTTGTGCATTTTTATGTGTGTTCTTTTGATTGGGGAGAACTGGCGACATAAACAAAAAGTAAGACACTCACTATTTACTGACTGATAACTGCAGTCATTGCTATAAAAGAGCACAAATACTTGAAGTGGAAAAAAAGAAAAAAAAAATACGTTGAAGAAGTTTCTATTTTTTCGTTTTTTGTATATTATATATTTAAACGATATTTATCACTCTATAGCTTTTCAGACGTAAAGTAGTATTTGGATATGAAAGTAGCAGATATGACAGAAAGATATTGCCGAAAGACCCGTCATTTTTGGAACTTCTGTAGAGTTAAGTGCAATCAGTTTCAGTCTTGATTCCACTTCCATGGACGTTCTTCACGGATCACTTGACAGTGCAAAAAATGAATTTATTGATTATACTGCTGAGAATGATCTTAAAGCTTATTAGATAGATATTCGCTATGGATATTAATGTGCTGGTGGCTTATATTTAAGAAAAAATTTCTATAAACAAACATTATTATCATATCAAGATGCATTAAATATTGTGATTGATTGTGATCCAACAGATTATTTTGAAATAGCTTAATGGTTTGAAAATTTTGGACAAGTCTGTAACAAAAATGTTCGATTCTAAAACGGCAATATTTTATTATAAGTTTTATTATATTCGTATTAGCATTCTGACAATAATGATGATCACAATTCTAATATACCATGTCTCTATAGTCAGCTAGAAATTCTATACTCCAATTCTTAAAGATACAAAAATTAGCATTTAAATTCATTTGAAAAATCATTTAAGTATTGGTTAACGCCAATAGATAATTGGTTTAAGCTTTAATCTTGAACCACAACGAAATCGAGAATATAAATTCCCATTATATCATTCTGAAACTTAAACTATCAAAACACAAAATCAATCCTTGCACGAAGCTAGGATCGAACACACGAACTTGATCTTTGCAGACGAACTGCAAAAATCAGCTTCGCTGTTCTTTCCTATATTCTGCACAATAAAATCTTATATAACCCAAGCAAAAAGATGCCTTTGAGAATATCTAGCAATAAAAATATGTTATCGGGCAATATCGGCTTGTAGTAGTTAGCTATCCGTACTACTATTATCCAGTTAGATAGGTATATTGGGTATGATAGCTAGCGACTAGATATCGTACCCAATATATCAGGTTGATGAAAAACACTGATTAGAGTACCTATTTAGTTGATATATTGTGGAAGTGTCTCATGTCGCTGCGCCACTAACTATGAAAGTAGGTATGTTGACCAATTATTACCCGGTATATTTTATGGATGGTACCCGATCCAATTATGCACTAGATATTAAACTAGGTATATTGATCGATTATTGTCCGATATATTGAGTCATGTATTGATAGCATGAAGGATGCTGTCTACATTGCATCCCGGGACATCCTGCGTTCTGTAATATATTACAGAAAGCAATATGTCCAAATATATTGGTCTATTATTGCTCAGTATATTGACTTGATATGAATAAAATCTATGTAAATTTGTGAAGTATATGTGTTACATAGATAGGTACAGTGGCTATAAAACAAAAAGGTGAGTAATCCGACCATTAATATATTGGGTAATTAGCTATAAGGTTAATGATATTGAGTTAGCTAGGTAGATCTGGTAATATGTTAGCTACAGATATCGCGCTTTAGTAAATAACCTAATTTCAGTTGCTAGCTACTAGCTATATCGCCCGTTAGTCGATATTTTTTTCGCTTGGGTAAGGAACGTTTATCTGGTATCGCAGTGGAAAAAATGTCATTTGTTTGCTAGATTTTTAAAAAACATATCTCATATGTTCTGCATAACCAATCTTATTTAAGTTCTCTACGCATGTGTATTTTATCATTGGTGGAGGACCACAACAACAGATCAAAACATCATCGCCTGGAGGTGGCATATGTTCACGAATCATTTGTTCATCGATACGTCCTCGACTATAATTCCAACTTAGATCGTCTCGAGAAGAACCAGAAGAATCACTTAACGTGAACCATAAATGAAAACGATTCGAATTTGTGGCTAATAGTTTTAGTTCTTCATATAACAAAATGTCTTGTTCGGTGCGATTAGAAAACAGCAACCATACTTTTATTTGTTGCTCCTTCTCTTTTAATATTTGATTGATCAGCTGATACAAGGGCGTAATACCGGTTCCACCAGCAATTAATCCTAGAGAGCGTATTTTGTACGATTTATATGGATCGGACTTTTTCCCACGAATGTGGAATAAACCGGATTTTTTGTATAATAGATTCCCCGTTGGGCCGCTGACTTCAACTGTTTTACCTAATTCTAATTTATCAAGATATTGTGTCATTTTGCCTAAAATTAAGGTGATCACTACGTGTAGTGAAAAACAACAGTTCATTATTTCTCACGTCGCTTCCTGGAAGACGGTTTACCTATACAAGGTTTACCGGCTTAGAAACTGTCATTAAAGAAGTATGTACTACAATTTAAAATTATGAGATAGATACAGCTTCTTAGTAAGATTCATGGAGATAACTGCAGAAGAGTTTTTGTCAGATCTCTTTACAGATTCTAGTGTGGTTGGCTTAAGTGGTTTCTGACTGAAAGAAGAATCTCACACACTTACCATTGGGATATATTTTAATCACCAAATCAAAATATCCACGTGCGTCGTTATCTGTTGTAACCGGTGAATATGGACGTTTAATAATCTGTTGATCGTTATCAATCGGTCGAACTGTTAAATAAATATGTTGACCAGGCGATAAGCCAAGCACGTGATCACATGATGGTAACTGAAAACGAAAACGTCTCGTATCATGCGACACGTTTTCCTTATGCAGTAATGGAAGTGTGTGTTTTATCTCAGAATTTTTTAATGTAATAATTGATGTTCGTTGATTACCATTGCCTTCTTGCCTTTTGGAACGAAAGTAAAATACATATCCAACAAGGATAGATAATAATGTTATGATACCGATTAAAACAAACATGTATATATGTTAATAAATTACCAGTCTAAAAATAACGAGATCAAACAACCAATAGGAATATAAAATCTCAAAACATACATAGAATCAAGAAGAGCCCTTACAAAATATGTTAATCAAAGTAAACTGTGAATAGATGCAGATATCCAATTAAAATTCATCCTCTGTTCGGCACAGCCTCAAAGCATGACATTAAAGAGGCAAACGTTACACAACAGTAGTGGACTCAGGTGTAGAGTAGCAAAGGCGACCAACTTTACCATGAGACACAGGTTAAAATTCTCAAGCATATAGCAATAAATTATTAAAGCTTATGTCAACCATCAGCATGACATAGCTATAAAGCTAGAAACGAAGAAAAGAATAAATTTTATCTTTTGAAATATCATTCCAGATTTGTGTTAACGTTAATTTTTTATGGACGTTTGAAGTGCATAAGGTCTACTCTGTATCGAGTTACTTTTATGGGAGAAGTATCATCTAAGTTTTTAGTTATAAGTCTGCTAAGATCACAACTGATCGCTTAAAAGTAGTTTCTTCGAACAAAAAAGGCGCCAGGAGCTTCTGGCTGTTTCGAAAAATGACATAAGAGAGAATAAAAAGAATGTCAATCTTTGAAGTTTCATAGTGAGCGACGTCGAACTATACTACTCCGCCTTCCCAGAACAGAAGCACATGGCCTTCTGTTATGGTTTCGCACATCGCACTTCTTTTGTGCGAACTGTCTTACCGCTATAGAGCGTTTTTCAAAAATTTTTCCTCCAGAGTGACCTTTTATCATGAGAGGGGGGGGGGCATACTGGAAAGCATGAAATCTCAGAGCAGAGAACCCCAACTACAAAACACTAATTCTAAACACCTTAACTTCATGGTTCCTTTTCACTAGAAACAACATCAAATTAAGAAATGTAGTTCAGTCAAAAGCCTTTAAATAAATAAATGGAAATACAGTGAAAGATGAAGACGGCAGTTCATTACATATCCTGGGAATTAAGATATCGAGGAAAAATTTCATCTCATGCGTTCGATATTAGCATATTACACGAAATGTTATTGTAATTGATAGCAATACTAAATGCGGATCCGACGTAAGGCATTCGAAGCCTTTACGTTTCCACATGTGCATTTACAGTGAATGTAGATATGCCTGTAAGAAAGTATTTTGAGGCATGTAAATATTTGGCTTCACGTTATGTCGATGTGCTGTTTGTATTTGACTGCATAGACAGACATATGTAGTAGAGAAACATTTTTCTGGTGAATGAAATCTCATTTCATAAGTATGTAATGGATCCCACGCAAAAGAATTATGACTACAACGAGACAGCTACAAAATGTACGGCGTTAAATGGTATAGGCTAGCAGAGCTTTCGAGTAGGAGAGGCGACAGAAGGATGGAAATCTCTCCACCTTAAAACTTTTTCTTACTTTTCCAATAAAAATATTAAAAGTCTATATAGTCAACTTTTGTTGATCTGTTCGAACATTTGAGATTCCAATAGAGAACTCAATTATTTAGATGGATTTTATAAATATAATCTCGATTGTTCATACTAATTGTTAATGAAGTATCTACATATCAATGTATTGGTAAAGGATTATTGACAAATTGATTCAAACCATGGAATGGTATTAATATGTCACAGCTCTTCATATAACCGAAGATGTTTAACAGAAGTTCATTAGGTAATAGCTCCATAGTCTATAGTCAATGCCAAGAATATTTTGAATACATGGTTTACATAATTATTGTGTAACTACAGGCACCATCCCAATACAATAATTTATTGTGCAGATTCTTTTTCTACTGCACAAAAATGTACTTTGACATTTTTTTGACTTAAAGCTTTGACGAGAATATTACAAGTCTCTTTTGAAATAATTAGAGAATCTGTTGGTGAATAAATGAATCAGTCAAGAATTAGTCATTCATAGACACCTGGAGAGAAAACAATTTTTTCGGTGTTCTCGTCAACATGAAGGTATATCTATTTATAAACATAAGAAATTTAGAATGTCAAAGGCTTTTAATATAAAAAATAAATTTAAATATACATTCATTCTTTCAAAGAACAAAAAAAATTAATTCTTTTCTAACCTTCTCCTCTCATTTTTCTATAATGTAGGCAACAGAACATTTTTTTTGGTTTGAATCTGTGCGACAACAACGTGGACATACCTTAATAGTACGTTACTCTGCCTACATTTGATACAATAAGCTACTATCGAGGACTAAGGAAAACACGCTACAGAGATCTCACGTTTGTTTTTATCATCTTGAAGCAGATAAGCGACATCTGTTTTCTAATATGTGGCACACAAATCCACTTGTAAAAGTTTTAATTTTATCCAAAAATTATGATATGTTCCGTTTAAAGTTATCAAACTCATCTGACAGTCGTCGTCAATATAAAAGGTCGCTAATGACTCTATACTTATGTTGCTATTTCGAAGTTTGAACTTCGACTCGAGTCAGATTCCTCTCAATGGGGAGCTTGTCTGCGATTACAAGTGCTCAAAAATAAAAAAAAGAAAGTTGAAAATTACTTTCGAACTCTACGTGTTCATAACGACACAATACCGACGGTATACAGTAACATACCGCATGGTTACCGCCACTATACCGGATGGTATTTTCGTTTACTATGGCGGTATAAGTCCTAGTAACCGTCGGTATCGACCAACCAATCATAACTTCAAAAAAATTTGTTTAATATAAGTTTCGAAAAAGATAAAAAATTCTTGATTGAAAATATGAGTAGTCAGTATATTTTATCTTAAACGATCCTAAAACGATTTTCTATGTAGGATGCAGGCTTACTCATTCAGTTTGCATACAGTGTGACGCTTCAATTGATACAAATAAAAGTTCGTATGTTAACTGAATCTTATGAATTCTTCTAAAATAATTATGTAAATTGCCTTGCCGGATTCTTATCAGAATCTTATACGATTCTTATATTCCTTTGTATAAGAATCTCATCAATATTCTACGCATTTCTGTCAACTGCTTTATATAAAATTCTTATAAGATTTGTACAAGATATCTACAGAATTGCGATATGTTCGGTCGTCTAGGAATACACCCCGCGTATGTAACGATAGGTAGTCTGCATATTTTTTCTGCGTATTCTGACTGACCCAGATCGATGAACTTGATTTAAATTTCACTTACAAGTGCATTCAGAATCAACATGACGATACGCCTTAAAGCACAAGTTAGTAATATGGATTATGTGCTGGTTATCTGAAGTGTGTAGCATCAAACTGTGTACCATTATACATTAAATTTTGTGCAGGTGTGACCATGAGAGTGAGCCATTCAGGTAAATTAATCACCATCGACAACATACATTAAATGAAATAATAAATAACTGTTTAAACTAAATTGACTTTTGGGCTGTACATTAGTAAATAGTCATTCAGAGAGTGAAAGAATCGAAAAAAACAGAATTTGGAACGAAGGACGTAGCATACGACTACCGATCTCGACCTTTGCCAATGGCTCTCGTTAGGTGGCTTCTGACACAAGAAAGGAAGAAGATAGATCAAAATTCTTCCAACATACGTACTTTTCTGCTTCTTTTAACTATTCGTATAGACCTATTCATCTTATCCATTCCCAAGAATACCTTCTGACCGGAACTATGTACATACAACTATGTACAGGATGCGAACTATGTACATTTGGTTCAAAACCAAAACTTTGGTTGACCCGGTCCAGTTAAAAGTTCTCTTTATTGTCGAAATAAAAGTCGATCAAGTATTGATTCACTATCGTTTTCATGAACCAACACTTTCATGAGTTGGTACCGTCAGATTACAGTCTATCTGTGTAACACTGCAGAATCACGTGCAAACAAAAAAAGTTCCAAAATGTTAAGCACGTTCTCAGGAGAATTTTAAAAAAATCATTTTTCCATTCCACGAGATTGCAGGACATGGAGCATATATTTCGCACGTATTCGACGTGGGCTATTAGAAAAACAGGTTTTCCCATTTCTCCAAGCACTTTTGAAACAGACGAAAATCCTGTGGTATTTTTGGTGGAAAAACACTTTTTCTGAGTGTGCTTGGGCTAAGATTCGAAATACTCGATGGTATCTCAGAAAACGCGTATCGTTCATGTTTATAATATCCATTGATTTTCTCGTTACTTTAACCATTCGATAGAGAATTTGACAGGCTCCAAAATGAGCTATAAGTTTGCCTTCGTAAATCGATGCGCTTGAATTTGAAGCACGTTAAATTCTACATTCCAAAATTAATTGGGAGAGACGAAAAGTACTAACGAGTATTTCGAATCTTAGACTACTCGCTCACATTTTGTTTTGAATATTTTATATAGCATTTTGTAGCCGGTGCAGTTCTCTATTGAAGGGTGTATAATAGTTGATACTTGCTCTAGATAAAATAGATAGAATAACGAAAATACTCTGAGTAAAGTTTATTTAACGAGGGAAAATGTTTTTTTGCGAAAATGTTTCCAAGGGTACTGAAAAGGACTTTTAAGGTGTAAAAATATGTTAAGGTTGATCGCGGACAAAAACTACATTCGATCGGTTAATATGAGATTGATCCGATTTAGGCTCTTATAGTTCCCCGTCCTTTGGCATCATCAACGCCGTTAATTATAACCGGTTGTGATATGATGTCGCTTGCAACAAGAGAAAAATCAAAACAAGATTTTTTTATTATTTGTTATGATATTTCGACTTTTATGTAGTCCTTGTCAAGGACTTAACAAGAAAAAACGGATTAGACAAAACTAGAATTATTATTTGTTACAGACTGCAGTACGGATCGAGGAAGAAGATTGTGATCCGATGGTTTAGGAAGTTCACTAATCTCATCTTCTTGTGATAAGAACATTCGATAAGCACACAGCGGACTCTTTCAGTATACAATTACTTAGATTCTTGATCCAGAAATTTCTTTTCCGAAGCTGATAATCTTAGTTTTGAAAAAAACAAAATCGATGCAGGAAAACAATCGAAAACCAG